ACAGAAAAAGGATAAGACTTAACTGAATGACAAGTAACACGAGAATGAATTTTAGTAGATGGCACAAGAGACGCTAGTTCTATAGAGCAGTGCCCATTATAATATTTGTAGAAAAGAGAAAGAGAAGCAACATTACGACGATTTGACAAAGGTTGAAGGTTGGCTGCAAGAACAGGTCCAACTATGTTTACAATGTGTTTTTGCACCTTGTCTAAAAGAGGAAGGGCATCATTAGAAGATCCGCCGTAAGATATGGCAACAGTATTCCATACAAAGCCGGATTTGAGATTTGAAGAGATGGAGAATAGTATCCAGAGTAAGAAAGTGTCGAGCTCGATAAAGAGATGCAACTTTAGCAATGCTAATTTTGTAACAGATTTGATATATGGTTTCCCAGAAAAATCAGAAAAAATAAGCCTAGAAGATGAAGGGTAATGACTCATCAAGTACATTACCATTCATAAATATAGGAAGGTCTAAATTACTGTGACATCGATTGGCTGAAAAAAAATGAGTTTTATCTGAATTAAAGTTCACCAGCCACTGTGAGCCCCATGCTGTAGCAAAAGTGAGATCCTTTTCAAGTTCAAATGCCCCTTCCAAGAGAGAAATGGCTTCTTATCATGACAAGAATAAATGGTAGTATCATCAGCGAACAATGCCATCTTAGATGTGAGAATATCTAGAAGATTGTTAATGTATAACAAAAAGAGTATAGGGCCGAGGATTAAACCTTGAGGAACCCCTGAGGTTACAGAATAAGAAAAAGAGTACTGTCCATCAAGGACAACTTTTATACTACAATTGGAAAGGAAGGATTCAATAATCTTAAAGATGTTTCCAGATACACCGTAAGAAGAAAGTTTATGGAGAAGTCCAGTATGCCAAACTTTATCAAACGCTTTAAAAAAGTCAAGAGCAGTGGCCTTAACCTCTCCACCTTTATCTACTTCAAGATAAAACCTATCAGTTATTACTGTTAGCAAATCAGCTGTAGAACGAGAAGAACTGAATCCATATTGATAATCAGAAAGTAATTTATTAGATTTAAGATGAGAGAATAAGTGTTTGTTAATTAAAAATTTATAAGCCTTGCTTATGATAGGAAGAAGACTAATGGGACAGTAGCTAGACGAATTAGATCGCTCTCCAGAATTTTTGAAAATAGGGATAACAGATGCTGCTCTCCAGCAGGCTGGAAAACAAGACTCTAATAAGCACTTGTTAAATAGTTTTGAAAGGATAGACGACAGCTCCAGAGAACACCTCTGCAAGACTATAACAAGTATGTTATCCAGCCACAAGCTGTTGAAGAGTCTAAGCAGGAAATCACTTTAGATACAGAAGCTGGAGTGATTTGACTGCCAAGCAATGGATTAAACTGTTTGACGGCTATATCAGGTAGAACGCAACTAGTGGAATCAAAAGATGATATTGATGAAAAGTTCTTAGCAAACAAATCAGCTTTGTCTTTAGGTGAGGTGACAAATTTTGAACCATACAAAAGAGGTGGAATTACAGACATTACAGATTTGCCCTTATTATTGATACTATTCTCCAGAAGTCACAAAAGCGATGAAATACAAATTTCATGACCTGAGAATAGCAGGCATTGCGTTAGACAAAACCTTTTTACAATGGTTCCTAGCAGTAATAAACAGACGTCTGTTTTTTGGAGAATTGTTTTGCTGATAGACATGGAGATCTGATTTCTAACTTAAGTCTTTTATATGAATTTACAGTGAGTCAATAGGACTCACTGTAAATTCATCTCGTAGTGTTTTTGAGATCAAAGTTTATAGCAAAGCAATTTAGATCTTAATCTTTCAGAACAAAGAATTCGATTGGGATTGCAGCAACACAATTTGATGAAAACCATGGAGAAGAGTGAGGCTTGACCTGGAATTGTCAAGAGGAAGTAAAGGGTTCCATGCCAGCCTGAGTCCATGAAGTTATGCAAAAAGGACATTTTTCAACAGGAAGACGATTTTTGTCGACAGGAAGACGAAGAACAGGAAGACAAAGGAACAGGAAGACGGTTGTCAACAGGAAGACGACGATTTCTATTTAAGGGCCATCACGAAGAAAATCACGCAAAGAGTCCCTGTCAGCTTTAAGGTATTTGTAAGATGTACAATGATAGGGGGATTCTGATGATAAAGAAGAATGAGATAATAGTTTTAGAGAGATCAAACTGTGATCAGAGGCACCTAAGGGTGAATGTAGAGAAACTGAGCACTGACTAGGATCAGAAACAAGACATTAGTCGAGTAGAGAAGGTAAATGATTCGGGTTGTCTGGAAAACGAGTTGGAAAGTTGACTATTTGAGTTAGGGATTGAGAAAGGTAAAAGTTGTGAGCTTTAATGCTTGCAAAGTCACTGACACTAGAACCAAGCCATTCAGTGTGATGAACATTAAAGTAACCGACAACAACAATATTGGCTGATGGATAAAAAGAGAGATGGCTTGGTCAATATGATCAGAAATAACATCAAGAAGAGTGCATCTTGAGATGAAGGATAGCAATATAGAACAAAGAGAAAGGTGATAGGGTGAAGTGGTGATACAAAGTTGATAGAGCGAAGTGGTGCTTCGCTCTATCAACTTTGTATCATTTTAAAGCACATAAAAGAGTAGTCTGTGTATTCAAACCTAGTTTCCCGACAAATGACTTCTTACGAATGTAAATGCCCAGGCCAAGCATGTGACAATTGGAGTCTTTATGAATTAAAGGAAGATAACCATCAACACTAAGATCACAAGATGAGACAGCTTAACTCAAATTAGTCTCACAAAGAGCAAGTAGATCTAGTAAACTTTGCAAGAGATAAGACTCAACAGAAGAAAAGTTACTTCGAAGACCACGAATATTAGTGAATGATAGGTTTAGCGAACTTGGTGATGATAGTGGTTTTTTGTGTTTTATAGTTTTTGTTACTTTATTCATTTTTAAATTTGTTAAAGAAATTGACTCAAATTATAGATAGTACTCAGTACACTGTTTAATAGCCCAAACAATTGCCTCATTACTATTAATAAACCCTAAACTGTAACAAAGGGTTCTAATGTGGCCTTGGCAATGCACACCAAAAGTACAAACAGGGACACCATCCATGTGCAACATGGCACTGTTAGTACTTTGATATTTTTCAGCTGTTGATGGAATCAGCCTCTCTGAGAACTACCACAGAGTTTGGGAAACCTGACTACCAGCCGGCCTCAAAACCATAAAACTGAATTTTAGAGCTGTACCCTCATTAGGAGATAATAGAATGAGTTGCCTAGTCATAAAAACAGGGACACAAGCAAAACCTATGCATCGAGTCAACATTCAGCATCCTAAACTGGAAACAATATATTGAAAATACATCTGTACCAGCCTAATAGATGAAGAATTTTATTTAAATTCATAATTTTATTTAAATCATACATTTTCATACAAATCATTAAACTTTTATTTAAATCATACAGCTGATGGTTGGTGGCCGAACTTTAGAAGTTTTAAGCACCATCTAGGCAAACTTTCAGGGAAGCCCATGCAGTCGCATGCCTTGTTTGTCCTTGTTTAAAGTAATTTTTTTAAACACACTGACCACAGCAGTTTGTACCATTTAACTTATAAAGTGTTTCAATAATTCGCTGCAAAAAGCTAAACGTTTAGCTTTAAGTTTACTTATCTACTAAGCGAAAAAAAATGATAAAAAATAAAGGAAACAAAATTGTAACAAACAACAACTTGAATATCAAGTTTTAATTAAATAAAGTAGAAAGTTGGATAATTAAAAAAAAAATCAAATCAAATTTTTTTATAAAACTTTTATACAACTTTTGCTTTCTTTTTTTTAATCGTTTTTAGCAGCCAAATTTTATACAAGTTGATGAAAAAAAATTAATTATCTTTTATAAAAATCTAACAACAATTTTTATCAGTTCGTATAGTTAAGAAACTAATTTGCTATGTTTTGTTAGAACTATGAGAAGTTTTGTTAATTTTTTTTTTTTTTTTTTATATTTATTTGTTTTGACATCTTTTTGCTTTTAAAAATGCTTTTGCTATATTTGACGTATTTCTCAATTATTGTATATTCGGGTTTTCAATAATTTGTTTAAATAAAAAAATTTTAAAATTTTAAAAATGTTTTCGCTATATTTGACGTATTTCTCAATTATAATATATTAGGAAAATAAGAAAATAAATTGCTTTATCTTTGTAAAATATATTACTTAATTAATAAATTTGTGATAATATAATAAATTAGATAAAAGAATAAGATGGTTTCTTTTATAAATGTATCCATCATTTGATGCATCCATGAAATTGTTGTTGGAAATTGAGAAATATAAAAATTGCCCAATTTTAACATTAATACAAAATACTAGAGATAATGAACATAACGATTGTTAGAAAAAATGCATTAAAAAACTTTTAAAAAAAAGGTTAAAAAGGCTCCTAAAAAATTTTGTTAAAAAAGTTCAGTAAACTAACAATGCACTAGCCCACACGCTTTTGGAGCATCGTCAATAACAACAGTTCATTAGGAAATAAAATATTGTTTTTAAATATATATATATATATATATATATATATATATATATATATATATATATATATATATATATATATATATATATATGTATATATATATATATATATATATATATACATATATATATATATATATATATATATATATATATATATATATATATATATATATATATATATATATATATATATATATATATATATATATATATATATAGTATATATATATATATATATATATATATATATATATATATACATATATATATATATATATATATATATATATATATATATATATTTATATATATATACTTATATATATTTTTATATATATATATATATTTATATATATATATATATATATATATATATATATATATATATATATATATATATATATATATATATATATATATATATATATATATATATATATTAAAATTGTCAACCTTTAATTGCAACAAATAAGTAGTTGTGTCCATATGATGGGATTGTTTTGTTAGTTTTGTGAAACTCTTTAACAACTGGCAAGTCTTGAGAAAGCAGCTTGTTATACAAACGATGAATTCCAGTAGCATTGATAATTATAGGTGCACGAATTTCAGTCATTTCAGGTTTTTCATCACCTGGTGTCAAAGCTTCTAAAGAAGAAGACTTACAAACACGTACACCAACAGCAACACCGTTTTCAACAATTATTTCATCCACATGGGCATTGACAAAACATTCCCCACCATGCTCATAAATGACCTTAAAAAAAAAACTTCAACTTTTATTTTTTTCTCAAAGAGAACAAAATTATTCTACTTTACATTTAAAACTATTTTTTATCAAAAAGAAAATAAAACTTGTTTATGAACAAAATTTATACTTTTTTCTCTAAAATTTGATTTTGAGTCCTGTAAAGCGAGTTTTGACAAGAGTTTTGTAAGGACATGGTCACAATTTTTTTTTTAACATTTAGGCATGTTTAAGGAAAATTTTAAATGTAAATTTAAGTTTTAAATGTAGTACTGGTTTAGATTAATACCAATTGAATTCTCCTCATATCTAGCATGGAGTGCTAAACTTGTTTGACAATTCTGTAGTTTTTAAATAAAAAATTCTCAAGTAGCATGATCATTCAATTATTATTTTTTTAGATATTGATATACTATTCCTTACTCCAGATAAGCCTCAAGCAAATCTATAATTCACATAATAATTCCAGGGGTTATTCTATGAAAATATTTTGGGTGGCGATACTCCACCGTCCCAACAAAGTTTAGCAGAAATATTGCTGAATATAGACTTTTTTGCAAAAAAAAAAAAACATTTGCCATAAAAATCGTAAAAAAAAAAAAAAGGTCCTCAATTTTTAATTTTGGTGCCGCCCAAATTGGCACCCAAATCTGGTTGACACTGTCAAAAACGGTCTAGAATAGTCCTTACTATAGTTTATCATACCACGACAAGAAGATTAAAAGACTCTAATACAAAAAATTAGTGAGACACTAAAAAATGCTTGAATACTATAATACTAAAACTTTTTCACCAGTAGAATGATAACCATAAACACTAAGTGCAGATCCCACTCTTCTATTTATATTTAAAAGATTATTTTTCTAAAAAAATGTTTTATTATTGTTCTATTTAATTTTAACTTAAATTTGTATGATTAAAATTACTCTTAAGCAAGTTTAGTTTAGTCTTGGTTTTATAAATCAAATAACAACTCTGAAACGCGAAACTTGACAAACAAGGCCGCTGAGAGAAGAAACAAGTTGAGCGCGGTACTTTAAAGGAGGCAGTGGGGATCGAACTCAGAACCTCTCACTTATGAAGAAAGCGCTCTATCATTACACAACTTCCGCAAATTATTAGTATTAATACATACAGAAATATATGAGAATGCAAAACATAGTGGCTTAAAATACTTTAATTGAAAACTGAGTTCTAAAAAAAAAAAAATGAAAAAAAGCATGAGAGAGTATTATTTAGATCACTTTTTCCTGTAAATACATGAAGCTGAAAAATTAATGTTGCAATTTTTGGTTGTTGCATAAAGTAGAAATTTAATTTTGGACCAAGCTAAAATAGTGACCATTTACTAGATTTATTTTTGATTACTTAAAAAAATAGCTGAAAGAAAAAAAACTATCAGCACCTTTGCACAAGCATTGGATAACATTTGTGTTGCACCATTAGTGTATGCTGCTCCATTCATATAGTAACATGCAGTGAGAGCATGAGCAATAATAGTGGACTCACGAGGTTGACAAGCATAATCTCCTAGTGGATGGACCAAGACACCTAAAAAAACAAACTAAATAAAATAAAAACTAAAAAGGAAGCTAAATAAAATAACACCTGCAAAAAGAAATATAAACAAATTGATTATAAATAATATGTGAATGGATACTTTTTTCAAAATAAAAATGATTGAAAAAGGGAATTAGGTCAAAGTGTTTAATTTTTTCTTGAATTTTTTATGTAATTCCATATTTTTGATACAAATTCGGTAGCTCATTTTAAATCATAATGTACTCATGATTTCAATATGGGTAATGCTACCCAAATACATTATCTTATATTTATATATTATTAAAATAATAAAACTATAAACTTTATTAACAACCATGTTATATATATATATATATATATATATATATATATATATATATATATATATATATATATATATATATATATATATATATATATATATATATATATATATATATATATATATATATATATATATATATTTAAAGAGAGAGAAAGAGAGAGAGAGAGAGAGAGAAAAGAGAGAAAGTTAAACTCAAAAACTAATCTAGTGTAAGTTTTATGCCGATTATGTTGTTTTTACAATTTCAAAAAGAAAAAAAATGGCACTATTTAAAAAAAGCAAAAAAATGTCAACATTTGAATATCTAGTAAACAATAAATAAACTACAACATGCTACAAATTATTTTTTATAAGTTATTTATTGATAAAAAAGGTTTTTTCAAGACAAGTGAATAAAAAATTCTTTGAACAAATATCTTATATTTTCTATAAAAGAATGAAGCCATGTAATAGATACCACTTGATCAAGACTGACATATACAGAAATTTCATCACAAATTATTTTCCAAGAAGTATTTTATTATTTAATAACAAATATCTATCCAAAATTTCTTCTTTACAATAAAATAAGTTCTATATAATATTATTAATAAACAATATCTTCATTAGTTAAATGAAAATCAGCATATTTAGTTTTTAAAGGTGTTTTACAAATAAATTGATTTTTTTTTTTTTTAATTTTACTTCACCTCCTTAAGGCCGAAAAGGCCACTACAGACGAGGAGGCTACTTATTTTGTAGCTATAACCCTCTCTCAACTCTTTAACTCCGAAACACGAACCTTGACGAACAAGACCGCTGCGCGGAGAAACGAGTCGAACGCGGTACTACCAGGGACGTGGTGGGGATCGAACTCGGACCCACTCGTTTATGAAGTGAGCGCTCTACCACTACACCACTACCGCATTTTGTAAAGAGATTACTTGGAGATTCATAAAAAACTAACAAAACAAAATAACAAATTTTGAAACAGTTAAATCGCTGATACTAAAGCAGTTGAGGATCCCAAAAATATAGTTTAAGTGGTTGCCAAAATTTATTAGCAAAATAAACAGTTTGATATAGAGCAGTTAGATATTTTTATCATTATTTTGATTTTATTCCCTTAACAATTTTTTGATGTAAATACATTTTAAACAACTGTTCAGATTTGTGTTCAGTAACATAATTGTTTAAATATAAAAGAAATGTGATAACATGGCAGCATCTGCAATTACTTAAAGTGCATATATCTACTAACAATGCTAATTGCTGCAAAAACTAAAGGCTTTTCAGACTTAATTAATATTGTATAATTAAATACAAAAGAAATGTCGTTTTCAGATGAAAAATTATCTTCTACATTTTCAATAAATCTACTCATTAAGTGGTATATCAGTAACCGATTTCTAACAATCAATACCATCAATAAATTTTTGTAAGTTATCACATGCCAAGTGATCAGTAGAGACAACAATAAAATAATACACTAATATGTCCATACTTAACATTATGAGATAATCTTTTGGAATTACCACTTTTTTAAAATTATAACACTACAGCTTCAGTGTTTTTGTTCATTTACACTGCATTCCATTTCAATTTTAAACAGTTAGGCACCAAGAACCTCATCATCAGAGAGAGCACTACAGGCAGATGTCGCATAACTTACCGCCATGTTTTGATTTGTTTGAACACATCGGAGCCTAAGCACCAGTTTTGATAACTTTTGTTATGTATGCAAAACCCACACTTTGTATAAAGCTTTATAAGAAAAGTTGTTTCAATGTATTACATTATATAAAATGATAATTACCGAAAACTAAATATGGTTTGTTTAAATAAACCCAGACAAATATGTCCTTATTCTGCCACATTGGAAAAGACATAACTTTAAACAATATATAAACAAGAGTTTTAAAACATTCTTATATATCTACTTTTTAAGTAATTTCCCATCTGAATGAACTTAAAACTCCAACTTTGCCTACTGAATAAACAAAATAATGTATATATATATATATATATATATATATATATATATATATATATATATATATATATATATATATATATATATATATATATATATATATATATATATATATATATGTATATATATATATATATATATATATATGTATATATATATATATATATATATATA